ACAACTAAAAGTGAAATTACTTTTCCTCGTGGTTTTGATGAGTCACCTTTTGGCATATGTATCAGACAATATCTAGAAATCAGGTATGCAGGAAACTGGCAGCTTTGTCTCTGTGAATTTCCCTTTAAAATATCTAACGAAAGATAAAGGCTGCATCTTGGATAATACAATTGTAATATATAGGTTAGTTGCGTATCCCTTACAGGGCGTTGCAGAACCAACCCTAACAGCTCCTTGCTGCTGTTTGGTTTTTCTAGGCAAATTTACGTCCAGTAGTTATTGTAATACCACTTGGAAAAAAAAAAAAAAAAGAAAGATTATACTTATAACGTTCGCCATTATTTCTACAGCATAAGAAGGTGTGACACCCCAAACGGAAACACAGCTAAGAAATTGTATTTACGTTTTTTCTTGTGTATTATCTTTTCAGGGAGTCGCCGTGAAGAAGCAGCTAGACGCGCGCCGCGGATCGGAAAGTCGTGGGTTCGCTCCCTGGCGGAGCCGTTCTTTTCTTCAAAAATGACCTTGGCTCCCAGGTCGACCCAACCCTGAGTGGGTACCGGGTGTAGTCCCGGGAAGTAAAGGCGGCCGTCGTGATGCTAACCACATCACCCATCTCGTGCCGATTGGTCTATAAAAATATAGGTACAACCTTATATTCCCAATAAGCCTAAAAGCGTGACACAGGGACGTTACCGTTATCTTTTCAAATCAACAAGCAATCCAAGTATTCGGACTATAGACACTTTTCCTGGAAAATGACTAAATGGGGGGAAGGCGGTTGGGAAAGGAGGCGTGTTACACTGTTTAACTTAACTTCAATCCAGATGTGCCTAGCATTCAGCCAGGTAGGCGTAAAACATTGCCAAATACCAGACGGAAGCCATTCAAAGCTAATTAGAGATACCCTTCCTACCTGAATTTGAACTGCTCGCGAACGACTTCTGTTCTGTTCTTTATAGATGGCTTGCCCGGAAATTAACCGGCTACAGAATCTACTAAACTGTTAATAGCAGATATTTAAAACGGGCAGACGGTTTTTTAAAGATAGACAGAAGATGCTATGGGATAGAGAGAATAAAGAAAGAAAAACATTAAATCAATGTGTATGTAAACAGGCAAGAGAATAAGCTACGAACAATTAATGAAAAGAAAATAGGTAGGTAGCAGAATGTATGTAAGAAATCATCATCAGGTGCCTTGCCGACTGGCGTGGGCGATCATGCCTCTCCATATTCCGCGATCTCCTGCAGCATGTATCAGTTCGTGTGCCGACACACCTCCATGCCAGGCAACAAGACTGTCAAGCATCTTCTCTCGTTGTCTTCCTCTATCTCTCCTTCCACAGATCTTTCCAGTAGTCACAACATGTTCTATTTTCCCTCTTCTCATAACATGGCCGAAAAATGATGACTGTGTGTAAAAAATACGTATGTCTAATATACATTGTTAGTGACTGACGTGTGTTTTCTCTGTGTCTTGAGTGCATTAGGTATACAATGCCAACCCATAATCTTATAGACGAATCGGTAAACAAAGGCAGATGGGGCAAACTGCGACAAGCAAGCAACAGAATGTGTTAGTGGCAAGCAAAACGGATGTACGAAACAAGCATGTGCAAACAGGTTCAATTGCGGGGTGTGGGGGGAGGGATACGAAAACTCTCGTTCGAAAATTAAAAAAATTATTTTTAAAAAAAAGTGGTCGTAGTGTAGCGGCTAGAGGCTGGCCTGCGGATCTGAAGGTCTTAAGGTTCAGGTCCTAGCAAAGCTAGACTTTGACCAAACTAAATACACTTGTCGGAAAATTTTTAATGTCTTTCAACAATGAAGCCCACAATGATGCCGTCCTCTTTAGTTGGTAATAAGATGTCTTCTTCTGTGTAAAATCATTTCAATTATTCGTTTGTTTTGGCTGTTCAAGGAATTTCAAGCCTTCTATTTTAGACCCACATCTCTGAAGCCGCAGTGTATTTTTTTAAACTGCATTTTGTAGAATTGTTATTTGTCCCGGATTCAAAGCCATGAGTTTACACTAATTTTGGGTAAATAAACAAATTCTTTTTATGACTTCTATTGACAAGAATTTATCATGTAAGATGTTTTAATTTTATATTTTAAAAAGTAATTTTACTTGAGCATTTTAGTTGTCGCTCTCTCTCTCTCTCTCTCTCTCTCTCTCTCTCTCTCTCTCTCTCTCTCTCTCTCTCTCCGTTATTCATCTTTCATCATATTCTGTGTCATTGTCAAGATACTTAAATGTTAGCATTTGCTACGAAATTATACTGTTGACTGACAGTAATGTTTGCTGCTCAGTAATGAGAACACTATGTATCATTTGTACTGCTGTTCAAAATAATGGTTAAGGTATGAAAGAAGGAAATTTTGTTAAACCTGTCACGATTCGTATCATAACTTAGTCTGATTTATGTAGAAGAATTTTTACATTAAACAATTTATAGCGCCCCTTCAAGAAAAAAAACGGGGGGGGGGGGGGGGGGGGGGGGTTGACGGGGGGATGGGAGCGATAGAAAAGAATAGAACCAGAGCCCGTTAGCAGGCGTGTTGTGAAAAGCGAATAATTAGGCATTTGCTTATATTTATAATTTGGACAGAAAGGCGCAGATATAGCAGCCTAGCTGTAAACCACATTACAACAAGCAGGCTTGACTTTACCGTTTAACCTTAAGCAACATGCCAACGCCCAATTTGGTAAATGCTGCGGCAGTAGAAGAAGAAAAAAAAGAAGAAGAAGAAGAAGAAGAAGAAGAAGAAGAAGAAGAAGAAGAAGAAGAAGAAGAAGAAGAAGAAGAAGAAGAAGAAGAAGAAGAAGAAGAAGAAGAAGAAGAAGAAGAAGAAGAAGAAGAAGAAGAAGAGGAAGAAGAAGATGATGATGATGATGATGATGATGATGATAGCACCCACAATAGAGAGAAAACCATGCCTAACTGACTGACAAGACCATAGGTCAGTTATTTGCACAGTTTTCTTACAGGTTTACAATTGATCAGTTACCGATTGTGTGTATGAAACATCACAGACCATTACCAACAACAACAAAAAACAACAAACAGGAGGGTATGAAAATACGATAACAAAGATCTACGAATAAGAAACGCATCGACATAGAGAAGCAAGAGGAACATGCAATAAAAAACCAAGCCAGATAGACAAAGTAGACTATCAGACAAACATACTGACAGGAAACAAGAGAAGTCAAAAATATAACTAGACGGACCAAACGAATGGTAGGGACATAGAAAGGAGTGTGGGCAAACAGACAGACAGGCAGGCATGTAGGCAACAGACAGACATAAGGACGGGCAGAAATAGAGACTAACAGACGGACCTAGAGACAGACGGAATAGCAGTTAAAGTTAGTTGAGGATCATTTACAGGACGTTGTTGAACCAACCCCAGCATTTGTGTGTGCGTGTGTGGTTTTTCTAGGCACAATCTTACGCTCTGTAGTTTGCCATTGCTCACTAAACGGTCTGCTCTCGGTCGAACCCGGCACTCCGGCATTAGAAAGCACGTTCGCAAAGCCTAAACCACAGACGCCCACTAAACATCAGACAGATGCACAGACACGAATTAATTTCTGAGTCTAACAGTTTGAGGAACTCGTATATGCTTCCCTGTCTTACGTATATCTTCAACTGTTTGTAGAAAAGATGGAATAACTAACAGAAAATGATAACAGACAATTTCGTAGAAAAATGCTCAAAATAACAATGACAACTAACTAACAGCAACACAATACCAACAGCAGGAATATGTGTATGTATTTAAATATATATATATATATATATATATATATATATATATATATATATATATATATATATATATATATATATATATATATATATATGTTTATATGTCATGTGATAATACAAAGGAATTATTAACTTGTATGTTCACGTAATCGTAACGCTTGGTTAGTAATATAATAACAATAAATTATAATAACAGTGGCAGACGTTCCTAACGTGCTAGAGTAGGTTGTATCAGTCGCCACGCGCTGATGGATATACTGAAGATGGAAAGCGAGCGCGTTTGGACTTGTCTGATGTGTACTGAGAACTATCTGTCAATTAACTAACTTGCTTGACGAAGGAAAGTAAAGTACAAAGTACTTTGCAAGTCGGTGACACAGGCATACCATGCTTGACTTATATTGTTTTAAACATATTTGTGTAAATAACTTCCTCAATGGGTAACGTGGTCGGCATCAAACCAGCCGCTTTTACTTTCTATGAAATTCCTGGTGTCCATTTTTGCTAGGTCAACCTATAGGCCATGATCATTTTGTTTTCTCCAAAACCCTCCGGTGCCTATTTAAACCCAAGACCTTTTAAACGGCAGACGAACGTACAGCCGCTATTCTATCGTGGCGAACATATAGATGCTGTGCTATCGTGGCGAGCGTAGTGCCGCTGTGCTATTGTAGCAAACAAATAGCCAATGTGCTATTGTGGCGAACGTATAGCCAATGTGCTATCGTGGCGCACGTATAGCCGCTGTGCTTTCGTGGCGAACGTAGTGCCCCAGTGCTATTGTGGCGAAAGTATAGCCGATGTGCTATCGTGGCGAACTAACTCCGCTGTGCTATCTTGGCGAACGTATAGCCGCTGTGCTATCGTATCGAACGTAGTGCCGCTGTGCTATTGTGGCGAACGTATAGCCGATGTGCTATCGTGGCGAACATAACGCCGCTGTGCTATTGTGGCGAACGTATAGCCGCTGTGTTATCGCGAATTCTATAATCGTAACGATTGCTGCTTGGTAAGTTGAGTTTACTGTTTGAAAATTATTATTATTGTCTTTATAAACAAGGTTTTACCTAACGCACCAATTTATTAAAAGCAAACGTACCAATCACTATGTTTACACATAATTCACTGACCGGTATAGTAGACGGAACACTTTTTTTTTTTTTTAATAAAAGATAACCTTATCTAATTAGTGATTAAAGAACAATAACCGACAATGTCTTACCGGAAGTTACTGCAAGGATGTATAACCCAGTTTCCAACTCTCTTGTGGCGCATCTTTTCTTTGATGAGGGCATTCTTGTTGCCAAACAGTTTCATAGCCAGCTTGTTGTCGGAAGGCTGAAAGAAATTCATGATTTGTTCTCTCAAGTAGCTTGTCGTACTGGATGTCTTGGGAAAAGCATCTAAAGTTAGCGGATCTGATGAAGACGGCAGTTCCTCTTTGGGAGTCCCGTACAGGCTTGTTTCGTCGCCTAGAAATTGTACTTTGCTTTCGTGCGTCTTGTAGTTAATTTCCGGGCTGAGATAGTCGCTGTAGATTGAATCCGAGTCGGAATCGAGCGTTATGGTAATAGACGGGTTAACGTGTCCTACTGTAGGTGCTCCAGTGTTATTAGCACCGATTCCTATACCACATGTGTCACCTGATATCAACTTATCTCCACTTGTTGCTCCTCCTCCTCCACCACCACCTCCTCCCCCGATCCCACCCCGGGATCCGAGCACGTGAAGTCGTTTGAGTTTAAGACTGTGTACCCGGCGAGCAGGTCGGTTGACGCCGGCAACCGGGTTCGATCCAGCCATCCCAGCAACTGAAGATCCGTACCCGCTGCGCTGAGCATTGCCGTTCAAGGGCCGGCAGAATTTGACAGAGTCGGAACGCTGTAGACCTGGCGATGCCAGTGTGGCAGTGGTACAGACAGGGCTCACAGCCTCGCCATTTGTGCAACTCACGACCGCCGCACTCGGCGGCGGGCTAGCAAAACCGTTAGATTCTAGAAAATGTTGATAACTCGGTGGTTCTATATCGTATTTATTGTCTGTCTTCCCAGTGAGCTCCTCGCTCTCTTTTGTTGGTGGCGTAGGTACAGAATTCATTACGGCGTTAATCTCTGTGTCCACTAACTTAGCATCCTCGCCTTCAACATTCCAACAGACAGTACCTGCCTCTTCTTTGCTTTTCACCCTTCCGCCTCGTCTTTCTTCCCCATCTCGACGCTTTATCAATGGTGATGACATTGTTGGTGTTACCACGTCGTCAAATTCATCACCATCGTATTCATCTTCTGTGGTACTGTCATATCCCTGACGACGTGCGAAGGAGGGTTGATGAGACTGGCGCGGATTTGATGCCAGATAATAGGAGATGAGGGTCTGATTACTGGAACTCACAGTGGGCAAGCTGTCTGGGGTTCCTGTGTAATTGGATGAGGTGGATGTGGAAGATAGTAATGAAGGTGGATCTTGGGAAGACATCATTAACCGCACCCAAGTGCAGCTTTAGGCTTCCTGAAATCAAAGAAAGGTTAAAAAAAATATATTATTTGAAGTTAATGCAATTTCTTTTGGGGTGGGGTGAGGAAATCATATATTCACTATTGTAATTATTAATTTTCTTATTCTTTCATCCTACTTTCTTTCAGACACCTACCGTAATCTAGGTGAACGAACAGCTGAGTTGTGGTAATAACCGCATCACAACACTCATGACGTTCCCATAATTTATCCCTCCTTACCTTCAGCAGCCAACGAGAAGTTCCAGTTCCGACGTTAAAGTATCTTCACAATGGTGACTGGAAAGATATACTGTCTAATTTGCAACCAACAACAGCATTGACACGCTAAAAGTGTACAGCTTGAAAAGACATTATGAAAAGAACCATCCATGGTACGGTAAATGTGTAGATCCACTGTATGTCTCAAGACTATTGGAACTGAAGGCTAACTTGACACCGTAACAGTGTTTGCTAACTTGACACCGTAACAGTGTTTACTAACTTGACACCGTAACAGTGTTTACTAACTTGACACCGAAACAGGGTTTGCTAACTTGACACCGTAACAGTGTTTGCTAACTTGACACCGAAACAGTGTTTGCTAACTTGACACCGTAACAGGGTTTGCTAACTTGACACCGTAACAGGGTTTACTAACTTGACACCGTAACAGGGTTTGCTAACTTGACACCGAAACAGTGTTTGCTAACTTGACACCGTAACAGGGTTTGCTAACTTGACACCGTAACAGGGTTTGCTAACTTGACACCGTAACAGTGTTTGCTAACTTGACACCGTAACAGTGTTTGCTAACTTGACACCGAAACAGTGTTTGCTAACTTGACACCGAAACAGTGTTTGCTAACTTGACACCGAAACAGGGTTTACTAACTTGACACCGTAACAGTGTTTGCTAACTTGACACCGTAACAGTGTTTGCTAACTTGAGCCCGTAACAGTGTTTGCTAACTTGACACCGTAACAGTGTTTGCTAACTTGACACCGTAACAGTGTTTGCTAACTTGACACCGTAACAGTGTTTGCTAACTTGACACCGAAACAGTGTTTGCTAACTTGACACCGTAACAGTGTTTACTAACTTGACACCGAAACAGTGTTTGCTAACTTGACACCGTAACAGTGTTTGCTAACTTGACACCGTAACAGTGTTTACTAACTTGACACCGAAACAGTGTTTGCTAACTTGACACCGTAACAGGGTTTGCTAACTTGACACCGTAACAGTGTTTGCTAATTTGACACCGTAACAGTGTTTGCTAACTTGAGCCCGTAACAGGGTTTGCTAACTTGACACCGTAACAGTGTTTGCTAACTTGACACCGTAACAGTGTTTGCTAACTTGACACCGCAACAGGGTTTGCTAACTTGACACCGTAACAGTGTTTGCTAACTTGACACCGTAACAGTGTTTGCTAACTTGACACCGTAACAGGGTTTGCTAACTTGACACCGTAACAGTGTTTGCTAACTTGACACCGTAACAGTGTTTACTAACTTGACACCGAAACAGTGTTTGCTAACTTGACACCGTAACAGTGTTTGCTAACTTGACACCGTAACAGTGTTTGCTAATTTGACACCGTAACAGTGTTTGCTAACTTGAGCCCGTAACAGGGTTTGCTAACTTGACACCGTAACAGGGTTTACTAACTTGACACCGTAACAGTGTTTGCTAACTTGACACCGTAACAGTGTTTGCTAACTTGAGCCCGTAACAGGGTTTGCTAACTTGACACCGTAACAGTGTTTGCTAACTTGACACCGTAACAGTGTTTGCTAACTTGACACCGTAACAGTGTTTGCTAACTTGACACCGTAACAGTGTTTGCTAACTTGACACCGAAACAGTGTTTGCTAACTTGACACCGTAACAGTGTTTACTAACTTGACACCGAAACAGTGTTTGCTAACTTGACACCGTAACAGTGTTTGCTAACTTGACACCGTAACAGTGTTTACTAACTTGACACCGAAACAGTGTTTGCTAACTTGACACCGTAACAGGGTTTGCTAACTTGACACCGTAACAGTGTTTGCTAATTTGACACCGTAACAGTGGTTTGCTAACTTGAGCCCGTAACAGGGTTTTGCTAACTTGACACCGTAACAGTGTTTGCTAACTTGACACCGTCACAGTGTTTGCTAACTTGACACCGCAACAGGGTTTGCTAACTTGACACCGTAACAGTGTTTGCTAACTTGACACCGTAACAGTGTTTGCTAACTTGACACCGTAACAGGGTTTGCTAACTTGACACCGTAACAGTGTTTGCTAACTTGACACCGTAACAGTGTTTACTAACTTGACACCGAAACAGTGTTTGCTAACTTGACACCGTAACAGTGTTTGCTAACTTGACACCGTAACAGTGTTTGCTAATTTGACACCGTAACAGTGTTTGCTAACTTGAGCCCGTAACAGGGTTTGCTAACTTGACACCGTAACAGGGTTTACTAACTTGACACCGTAACAGTGTTTGCTAACTTGACACCGTAACAGTGTTTGCTAACTTGAGCCCGTAACAGGGTTTGCTAACTTGACACCGTAACAGTGTTTGCTAACTTGACACCGTAACAGTGTTTGCTAATTTGACACCGTAACAGTGTTTGCTAACTTGAGCCCGTAACAGGGTTTGCTAACTTGACACCGTAACAGTGTTTGCTAACTTGACACCGTAACAGGGTTTGCTAACTTGACACCGTAACAGTGTTTGCTAACTTGACACCGTAACAGTGTTTGCTAACTTGACACCGTAACAGGGTTTACTAACTTGACACCGTAACAGTGTTTACTAACTTGACACCGTAACAGTGTTTGCTAACTTGACACCGTAACAGTGTTTGCTAACTTGAGCCCGTAACAGGGTTTGCTAACTTGACACCGTAACAGTGTTTGCTAACTTGACACCGTAACAGTGTTTGCTAACTTGAGCCCGTAACAGGGTTTGCTAACTTGACACCGTAACAGTGTTTGCTAACTTGACACCGTAACAGTGTTTGCTAACTTGACACCGTAACAGGGTTTGCTAACTTGACACCGTAACAGTGTTTACTAACTTGACACCGAAACAGTGTTTGCTAACTTGACACCGTAACAGTGTTTGCTAACTTGACACCGTAACAGTGTTTACTAACTTGACACCGAAACAGTGTTTGCTAACTTGACACCGTAACAGTGTTTGCTAACTTGAGCCCGTAACAGGGTTTGCTAACTTGACACCGTAACAGTGTTTGCTAACTTGACACCGTAACAGTGTTTGCTAACTTGACACCGTAACAGGGTTTGCTAACTTGACACCGTAACAGTGTTTGCTAACTTGACACCGTAACAGTGTTTGCTAATTTGACACCGTAACAGTGTTTGCTAACTTGAGCCCGTAACAGGGTTTGCTAACTTGACACCGTAACAGTGTTTGCTAACTTGACACCGTAACAGTGTTTGCTAACTTGACACCGTAACAGGGTTTGCTAACTTGACACCGCAACAGTGTTTGCTAACTTGACACCGTAACAGTGTTTACTAACTTGACACCGAAACAGTGTTTGCTAACTTGACACCGTAACAGTGTTTGCTAACTTGACACCGTAACAGTGTTTGCTAATTTGACACCGTAACAGTGTTTGCTAACTTGAGCCCGTAACAGGGTTTGCTAACTTGACACCGTAACAGTGTTTGCTAACTTGACACCGTAACAGTGTTTGCTAACTTGACACCGTAACAGGGTTTACTAACTTGACACCGTAACAGTGTTTGCTAACTTGACACCGTAACAGTGTTTGCTAACTTGAGCCCGTAACAGGGTTTGCTAACTTGACACCGTAACAGTGTTTGCTAACTTGACACCGTAACAGTGTTTGCTAATTTGACACCGTAACAGTGTTTGCTAACTTGAGCCCGTAACAGGGTTTGCTAACTTGACACCGTAACAGTGTTTGCTAACTTGACACCGTAACAGTGTTTGCTAACTTGACACCGTAACTGTTTTACGTTAACTGAGAAAGGAAACGTCGTTTCTGTTACTAGAAGCTAACAATTTAGCTGAAAGATCGTCATGAGTGGGAAATCTTACAGTGACGATTTTATGATAAAACGGCTGAAATTGTGTGTCCAGAGAAAGCAGACTTATTCAGAGAAAGTTCATTAACAAGGAACACTCTTGCCGAACGGATTTCTTCATGAAATCAACAAAAACTTCTTAGAGAACAAGGCTGACTGATCAACACTTGCATTTTTGATCAAAGTCGGAACTACACAGACATTTCAGCCAGACAAAGCAGAAACAAAAATTCCTTAAAAATAAGTGTAAAACCTCAGGACAAAACACTAAATTATTACACTCATTTTGAACTATTGTAATTCTGTAAAATGTGTTTGTTGCTATAGCATACAAGTCTATGTCACAGCTTGTAATTTCGTTGTTGTTGTTGTTTTTTTTTTTTTTCTTGATTCGACTACTTCAGTACTTTGCTTTCATGATTGTCGCTAGCTGCTAAATTGTGTGCACTTTGTACGTTTCTAAGTTTGAGTAATAAAAGTATTCTGCAAAAATGTTTATTAAATAACTTTGCTTAATTGTGTGTGGCTCTCACGACTACACACATGTGTCCCATATGAGCCTCGGAAAAATTCCTATACTAAACACTAAGTAGGTAGGTAGGTGGATGGGTAAGTAGGTAGTTTGTTTTCTCCATCTAGGGCTACCGTCTGTAAGACTAACTCCTTAACGGTAAGAATGAAACAAGTACAAATCCTGGAAAGCATGGCTGAGGTGAGTTGACTCCAGAATTGACATCACAGCACTCGGGGCATTCACATGCTCCTGGAAACTACAGCTGATGTGAGGTGAGTTGAGCCAAGACTTGATATCATAGCACTCGGGGCGTCCCCGTGCTCATGGAAACCACAGGTGAGTTGAGCTCAGCCAAGACTTGATATCATAGCACTCGGGGCGTTCCCGTGCT